GTGATCTACTCAATGTCTGTAATAAGTATAACACACTAGCAAATGTGCTGTTTACCCTCTTGCTCAATGCAGTTGTCAGGTAAGAAAGTCCCTGATGGAGCTCCCTGCTGTCTTGATGCTCATTAAGGCTTCTCTGTCTCAGACTCTGGTGTAAGCCACCTCCCCACTCTTCTCTGCAGGGCAGACAGATCTTGGGGTGCATCCACAATCACAGCCACACCACAGCTGGAGACAACGGTCTTCTCTCTGCCCCAGCAGACAGTCCAGGCCTGGGGCCTTTGCTAGTTGGCTGTGCCCTCTGCAGCCTGGCCCTAGTCCATCAATGAAAACAGATCTGCCTTTCTCAGCATGCCTATCACTCAGGGAGTCATGTGGATAACTCAGTGTTCATTGTATTAGTCATCACAATAACCCCTGACTAGGGAGGTCCAGATGTTGCCACCTTTTGCCTACGAAGAGTCTTATTCTGGCATCTTCTCTAAAAGTTTAGAATAATGAACTGTGACTAAGAAGTGCCTGGAACTCCATGATAGTCACACGGACTCTGAGCTCATTGCTTAGACTGATCGAAAGGGTCAGACTGTTGGTGTGTGTGCTCTGTTAACTGAGCAAGCAGCACTAGATCAGAGCAGGTCAGAAATGAGCTGCCGTGACAAAGCACTGGAGAGCTCAAACAAGAAACATGTTTTTGGGCACAAAACGGAAGGCGAATCTATGGACTAAGGTATGTAGGAGACACAGCAGCCGTGCGCAATTTGTGCACTTCATTTGAATACTAATTTGAATAAAATGACTGTGGAATAATTAAGGATGTACATATACATACGTGTTTCTATGAGAAATAAGTGTTTTTTAGAGGACAATAACATGATAATGCTTTGTAAAAAGTCATTATCTTCTAAAGATTACAGAGACTTAAAAACCAAAGCAATCAGTATGAAAATGATCTACTGAGAAGGAAAGTGATATACAATTTTAAATAGAAAGAAAAACTGGCCATGAACTGATTGTCAAGGCTTAATACTGGATGCATGAGGGCTCATTACATCATTATTTTGGCTTTATGTTTAAAATTTTCTATAATCAAGTTTCTAAAACTCCTTTGAGAAAAAGCAAGGAAAGAAGGTTATCTGGAAAAGAACGGCACTTGCCCTGTGTTTAAGTCTACAGTGGGCAGTCTAGAGTATGCAGGATGGGGAAGGCACTCACCCACGCACTTCGTAAGCACCACAGGCCCACCCTGTATGGACAAGGGTGAGGGCAGGTCCATGTTCCCTGCAGACAATCCTTGTGTCCAGTCCCCGTCCTGCATATTCCTGAGAAGCCTGGGGACTGAACAGTAGCTTAGGCCTCCGCTTTCTCACACGAAACCCAACTCCTGGACACCTGGAGCCCCGAAGTGCGAGATGCATGGACTCAATCCTGGCCGGAATGACTCTCAGGAGGAGGTGACAGCCATCACTGCCTGAACACAGTGAACACAGTGTCCCCTGAAGGGAGTGTCTGCTCAGGTCTAAGCTGAGCATAACCCCAACCAGATCCAGAAGGAGCTTGTGGGTGTGGAACAGGAGGTGACATAGATTTTAAATAAAATGAAGAATTGATGTGAGGGGAGGTAACAAAAAAATTGCCCTACAATGTATTAAAAGGAACATAAGGCAAATATAATTTTAGACAGTATCATCTTTGTGCACAAGTATCTGCAGATTGTTCAGTGGAACCCAAAAGATTAGACATAGGACAGAGTTCAGTCAAGTCAGGATCCAACAGCAAGCAAGAGCAGCCCCATTGCCCCTCTGCAAGCAGAACAAAGAAACAACAGGAAAAGCATGCTGCCAGTGTCAACTTCAGGAAGAGACTTGTGGTGTGAGCGTCAGGGCCTTATGGTCCTCAGGACACTGTGCCACAGCCGCCCCCACTTCGCCTGGCGGTGCAGCAACTCCAGCTGCACCCCACCCCCACCCCGTGAGTACAGCAATCTGAAAGGCCACAAGAGACTCACTGCACACCCAGGACAAAACATTTGTCATGCAGACTGGCCATGTGACACCCCATAGTCCCACAGCCCAGGGAAGAAACACCGGGCAGACAAAAACAGCCATTCCAAGTAATAATTTACCATATGTAAAGGTGACATTTCAAAGCAGTGGGAGATACACACTGAAGGTTTCTCTTTCTAAAATTCACATGTGGAAGCCCTAACTTCCAAGGAGATTATATTTGGAGAGAGAGTTTAGGGAGGTATTTAAGGTCAAATGATAGGATCCTAATACTATATACACTGTGGCTGCAAAAGACCGTGGGGGGCCACAGGGAGATGGCAGCCACGTGCAGCTCAGGAAGAATCGCCTGGCCGGAAACAAACCTGGAAGCCCTTGACCCTGCACATCCAGCCTCCAGAACAGTGAGAAAATAAATCCTTACACCACCGAAAATGGCATTTTGTCATAGCAACATGAGCCAATGCACAGAATGGATTAGGAGTAAATCAGCCACAAGTCTGATTTACTCTTGTGACAGACAGCACAAGAAAGCCCAGACATCTCATCACGCAACTGGCCAGAAACACCAAGAGGGACCTCAACAACATTCACACACAACAGTGCACCGGCAGGAAGACCTAAAGCCAAGACACATGTGGAGAACATCTATCCATACACAAGACATTCCCTCAAACAAGGGAGCAGTGAGTTTAACTCTGGGGCTGGGGACCAGGCAGGATGACCCTCAGAGCGATTTCTTACAGGTAGTGATTCTACACTGTATCTACAGTGTGCAGTATTTATGAGCAACTGTCACAAATCCTCCGATAACTGACTTTCTCAAAAACTAGAAATCTACCACCTCACTACCCTAAAAACAAGGGAACTCCTATCTAATGTGGCAGACATGCCCTCACATGACTCTGTCCCAGAGATGGAACATGGAACTTGGCTCTAACCCAAAGACTGTGATAAAGGGGCAGGGCATCAACCCCGATCATGTGTTTAGGACAATCCTACTATGGGCTCAGTGGCAGAGCACCTGCCAAGCATACACAAGGCCCCAAGTTTGATTCTGAGCACTGCAAACAGAGGCTGTCCTGCCAGGCTGGAGGGATACCCTACACTAGCCTTAAGGAAGCAACAGCCCTGTGCCCTGCCTGTAAGGTCACCACTCTCAGCAAGACACTGCAAGGAAATTCTGGCAACCTGAATGAGCTCGGGGGCACAATGCTCTACAGCTGAGCTGCTGACCCTGACCCTGAGACTCTAGAGAGGGCCTGCCCCTCAGCTACAACCTACTTGGTGACACAAACTCAACACATGTTGGACACAGGGACAAAAGGGAACCAGGTGTGGATGCACATGCCTGTAATCTCAGCCCTTGGGAAGAAGAGGCATGAGGATCATCTCGTGTTTGAGGCCAGCCTGGACTACATAGCAAGACCCTGTTTCAAAACGCCATTCCCTCAAAAAGAGAGAGAGAGAGAGAGAGAAGAGATATTGCTCTCCAGTGACTGCCTGCTACTGACCTGAACAAAGTGAGAGCTGTTGTTCAGAGCTATTGAAATAAAGTGGAGATGAAGATATTAACAATTATGAGCCCAAACTGTATGTTTCTATGTAAATGATGTTTTTATTAGCCTGTGGCTGGCCCTGTGTAAGAGGTAAAGTTCAAGGGAAAAGTCTCCTTCAAATAAGAGACAGCTCAGTAATAATGGTCAAGAAATTTACACATACTAGAAGCGTGGAAGTATACTACAATTCTTTAGAGTTTAGACATACTACATTGAACAAACTACAATGAAGAGCAGCTCTTGATATTGAAAATCAGTGTTTCAGCTAAAAGTACAGATTTTTCCATCACACTTCTGCAAGGTTCAGCTAAGCAAAAAGAGCTGCAGGCACAGAGCAGCCATGTGTACACTGAAGGCCTATCTGAGCTCCACCACCCAGCACCCTCCCGTCATCCACCCACTAGGTCCAGCAGCACCACACTCCAGGCTATGACAACCAGTGATGTCTCTGGCACACCAATGACCTCAAGAGGCTACAGACAGCACAGAGCCCTGCTGCATTTTGTGTGTTCAATAGCACACTTAACAATTCTATATGAAATTTTTTGTCCACATTACAAATTTCAGGTATTTTATTACAAATTCTGGCATATAAAAATGTTGTACTTTCTCTTGAAAACTGATGAAATATGTAATTTACTCTTGATATTTAATGAGCTGTCCCTAGCTAAGTGTCCCCAAATTCATTTCTCCCCACAGTTTCTTTGATCTTTCCATAAACCAACTAGGGGATGAAAGATAACAACACAGGTTTCCCTTGTGTAAATTTTCTGATGCACGAGAAAAATCAGTTATTCAAAAGCTGAACTGGTAACAGTGGGCTGTCTGGGTCACAGTGTGCATAGCTCACAGACAACAGCTCAACAGAGCAAGGAGGATTTTCTCACTAGGGCAAGGTATCCAAGGAGACTCCAGGGTGGAGACGGCAAGGCCGCTGGCCCCCTCAGCCAATCCCTCATCTCACCCCGGGAAGCTTTCTCCACCAACACTCACGGGGCCGCTGGGCACCATGTGGATTCAGCCCGACAGGACAAAAGACTTGGATGGCCACTGCCACACCCGGAGGTACTGTCCATCACTAGGTCCACATCCTCCAGTAGTGTCCAGGTCCCATCACAATGATGGGGAGCCAAGGAATGGGGCCAGTGTATCCAGGAAAAGAGTGCATTGGAGGACACAGCCACCTCTGCACAAGCTCTCAGGTTTACTGAGCCGTCACGGCTAACAAAACATTTTCCTATACTCATAGGGTCTTTCTCCTGCATTTTTTTTTTTGGTACCAGGGATCGAACTCGGGTCCTTGTGCTTGCGAGGCAGGCATGTGAGGCAGGCAGCGGAACAACTGAGCTAAATCCCCAGCCCGTGTGAGTTTTCTGATGTATGGTAAGGACTGGCTTCCAGTAGAATGATTTCTTGCATTCACTGCTCACAAGGTGTCTACCTTGTGTGAGTTCTCTGATGCCTGCTGAGGTGTGACTTCTGGCAAAAGGTTTTCCTACATTCGTGACATTCATAGGGTTTCTCTCCTGTGTGAGTTCTCTGGTGCACAGTGAGCACTGATTTTTGATAGAAGGATTTTCTACATTTGTTACACTCATAGGGTTTCTCTCCTGTGTGTGTTCGCTGATGTACAGTGAGGTCTGACTTCTGATAGAAAGACTTCCCACATTCGTTACATTCATAGGGTTTCTCTCCTGTGTGCGTTCTCTGATGCACAGTAAGTTTTGATTTCTGATAGAAAGTTTTCCTACATTCATTACATTCATAGGGTTTCTCTCCTGTGTGTGTTCTCTGATGTACAGTGAGGTCTGACTTCTTGTAAAAAGATTTCCTACACTCGTTACATTCATAGGGTTTCTCGCCCGTGTGAATTCTAAGATGTAAAATGAGGTCTGACTTCTGGTTGAAAGATTTCCCACATTTATTACACTCATAGGGTTTCTCTCCTGTGTGAGTTCTCTGATGCCTGCTGAGGTTTGACTTCTGGTTGAAAGATTTCCTACACTCATTACATTCATAGGGCTTCTCTCCTGTGTGAGTTCTCTGATGCACAGTGAGGTCTGACTTGCGGTAGAAAGATTTCCTACATTCACTGCATGCATAGGGCTTCTCTCCTGTGTGAGTTCTAGGTTGTGAAGTGAGGTTGAACTTCTGGTAGAAAGATTCCATACATGTGTTATACTCATAGGGCTTCTCTTCTGTGTGTTTCCTCTGGTGAGTTGCAAGGTATGCTTCCTTAAGGAATAATTGCTCACAGTCACTACATATGTGAGGTTTCTCTCCTGTGTGCATCCTCTGATATTTAGTGAGTGCAGGCTTTGAATAGAATGTCTTCCCACATGCATTACATTCAAGCATCTCCCTCCCTACCTGAGTTACTGATTGGATGATGAGAGCTGACTTATCACAGGCTTCCCCACGTTCACTATATTCACAGGAGGACTCTCCCACACGTACCCGCTGATGTATGAAGAATATCGCCTCCGTGTTAAGACCCGTCATTTCTCCACTGTACTCAAAATTCTGCTGCTCAATTTGAATCCTGTGATGCTCACTGAGATATGCAGGATGTGCAAGGGATTTCCCAACCGTACTGTGGGCATCAGGCCTCGCTCTGGCAGGCACCTCGTCAGGCACATTAGGCAGGAGCACATTCTGATACACAATAAGCTCTTCAGTCTTCATTCCTAAGTAGCTCCCATTATTTATACCCAGCTTTGAAGTACGGTGTGAGCTCAAATCAAATGTTCTTTCTAATCCAACTCTCTCCTCTGCTGCACTGCTGCTGGTGGCCACAACTTGCCACAGATGTCTGTCTGGATTTTCCTGGCCGGTCTCACTCAGGTCTTCCACTTTCTGGATATCTAAAATGATCAATTATAACAAACATACTCTTGAACCACACATGAGCATTTCTCATGGAATACCTAAGCAAAGGTAAGGAAGTTTCTTCTTATCCTACCAGCCAAAACTTTTAAAATATCAGTAACAGGTACAGGCTTATGGTAAGTACATGCCTATTGCCCTAAAGTGAATGTAATGAGTAACTGGATGGTTTTTTACAATATTGTGTTTTTCTCTGCTTCTTTAAAATTTTTTTCCTCCTTTAGTATCTGAGGAAATATTTAGTCAAATTATTCAATTGCTGCCTGGTTGTAGTTTAAAATTCAGTGCTGTTCATCTGCCATTTGTTTTCCTTGTTCTTTTTTTCACACTTTTTCTTATTAATTGCAGGTATTTTATGCTGCTTCTCTTCTGGATCAGCTACAGTTGGATGCTTAATAGGACTACTTCCTTGCGTGTTACCTAAGCATGACTATTTCCTGGGGCCAAGGATTTGTGCCTGCAGTTGCTTAGTCTTCACTGCTCCCTGAGGAACGGCTATAGGAATCTGTGGGGGATTTCAAGTCTCTTCTTCCCCATCCTAGATAAAGAGAACATCCTCCAAATTCCAAATTTAACCTGACATCTTCTGCTTCTCAGAACCTCAGCACCAGTCCACCATCCGGCCAACTCATCCTGGTCCTGCAGTCTGGGCTGTGCCCGCCATCCCAACAAGCCGGCCTCTCCCCAGGTCCTGCTACGCCCCTGCTTGTGGGCAAGCTGCTGCTCAAGCTTTCGCTTTACGCACTGGCATTTCGTCTGTCTCTCCGTGTTTCAGAGAAAATGAAGTCTCCTGTACATCCCTCATTCCCTTTGGTGTTTTAGAATGATTTCCACAAAGAGGAGAAAATGCTAACTTCAAACTCCACTCCCACCCGGGAATCGGACCCACTCAATATAGAGTTCAGGACTGTGGGAACCGGGGAAGAGACTGCTGAGAACAGCCCAGCACAGCCCCATGAGCTAGGCTCTTTCTACCCAGCCTCCTTCCCAGGACACAACTGACCTGGAAGGGTCTGGCCTGGGGGTTCTTCTCCCATCCATGGCTGTGCTCCCTGCTCCAATTTGATGGTCTCCTCTGGGCCGGGGGTGCCGTGCCCTGTTAATGGGAAATGTTAACAGTTCTGCCTGGATTAAGTCCTCCCTGGCACCCTGCCGATGATGTCCTGACACACAAGTCTGACCCCTAAACCTCTTCTCTCAAAGCTGCTACTGATTTCCAAAGTTGCATATCTACCAGTGATACATATTCTATTCTAGATTATATATTCACCTATATATTATATAATAAATTGGACCATTGTCACCTCAAAATTAAGCTATTTGAAGTAAATAATTATCTCTCTAAAACTGCTTCCCCTTAGAACCCTTCCTAAAATACCCCATTTTCTACTTCATCCTGGTAAAGCATTCTTTGTGGCTCTTAATCACAATAGACATAGAGTCCACCAAAAAAATTTATATACACTCAGAAAAAGAAAAATAATATGAGGTTTTTCCAACAGATGGTGCTATCCTCATATGGGGGACCCTAGAGGATCTCACATATCACAGAAAACTCATTACACTTCCAGTCCTTAGGGAAGAAATTGAAAATACATGTGCAGGAATCTCAATGACTAAAGTTACCCAAGAAGCAGTTTGCTATACTAATAAATGTCTGAAAGCTAATGCCACCACTTTGAGCACCTCTTATAATTGTAGAGGCCAAAGGTAACTTTTTTTTTTTTTGGTACCAGGGATTGAACTCGGGTCCTTGCACTTGCAGGGCAGGCGGCGGCACCACTGAGTTAAATCCCCGGCCTCCAAAGGTAACATATTAATCTCATGATGTCTCAATGAATTTAGTATTAAAATATTTATACAAGTTTTTCTTTTCCTGAAGTGTGTACATATTTTCTGGGGCAGACTTTGTATCTGTCTGGGTTTTCTCTTTTAAAAGAACATAAATTCTCCAAAAGGAGATATATTTGTTTAATTACTACTATCTCCACAACCACAAAACACCAGCACCTATGAGTTGCTCAATTTTAACATGTACGGAAAGAATGAGTAAATGAATCAATTTTTTTAAAAGGCCTTGAGATTGGAGGGAAAAGGGGCATCTGAGAATTTAAAGAAACTCACCAAGAAAAAAGTCTAAGATCCTGAGAGTGGTTGGAGCTGTAGAAAGTCTAAGAAAAGTAGGAGGAGGTGGAGCTCGGCTTGAGAAGCTCCGCAAAGACATTAATGCAGGCATCTGACCCTAAGCCCCACTGTGGGGGCTGGAGAAACAGTCCATGAATGGCCCAGCACAGCCCCATCGCTGGACTCTGCTCCTCCCAGCCTCCTTTCCAGGACATAACTGACCTGGGAGAGTCTGACTTGGGGGGTCTTCTCCCATCCATGGCTGTTCCCCCTGTTCCAGCTTGACGATCACCTCAGGTTTGGGACTGCAGTGCCCTGTTAGTGGGAAATGAAGCAGGACTTCTGGAACACTGCTATTTCAAGGCCTTTGAAGAAAGCCAACAGCATGGCTTCAGGAGCTGTGCCATGAAGGGGCCAGCGTGGATCTTTTGTTAGAGAGCGGTGACATATCCTTCATGAGCTGGACTCTTACACCTAAATGCCATGAAGTCATTACCTGTTCTACACACTGAGAAGAAAGCATTTGCTCCTGGGAGTTACTGATTTTTCACTCACCCAAGGACACCAGACTGCTGTAGGTCTCCAGCATCACATCCCTGTACAGGTCCCTCTGAGCATCGTCCAGGTCCTGCCACTCCTCCCAGCTGAAATCCACAGCCACATCCTCAAATGACACCAGCCCCTGAAATGGCATGTTTCTCTTCACTCAAGTCATCAGTCCTGGGATCTCTGAGAACACAAAATCAGGCTCAGGGAGGTCAGTGTGTGTGTGAGTGTGTGAGTGTGTGTGTGTGTGCGTGTGCACGTGCACGCACGCACATGCATGCACATATGTAGAGAAGGGAGCTTGTTCTGTACTCTGCATGGTGGGAGGAAGAAAAGCCACAGCAGAAACATCCTGCCTCAACACAGATTTGTTAATCACTAAAAATGATTTGGAAATGTCCATGTTGCCAGGACAAAGGCAGGATACGAATTCTCCACCAAGAAGCACATGGTCTGCTATGATGACACAAAGCACACACACATTTCTACAATCACTGTTCAGTCAATTTAGATACAGGTTCAAGGTAAGTCACAGAAAAAAGGAAGTAGAAAAACAGATTTTTCTATATTAGGTTGTGCTTCACTGAAAAGCAAAAAAATGTTTAGATCTTCCAAAAGAATATGTCTTGGGAACAAGAGGCCATAAAGAGTTCCCTCATGAAATCACAAATAACACAGCACATTAAAAGAAGTACAAAAGATACCTTGTCCAGGTGAGCTACCCTGAGCTGTGATGAGAGAAAAAGGCAGTAAAGGTATTTGACAACCTGATTATAGAATGATTTTGACTTACTCAACACACTTCCAATAATAAATAGCTCATCTGCTCGTTGCTATTAGCAAATTACTTACAGATTAATGTTATGTTCACAGGAACCTTGTATTTCCCTCCTAAGTCCAAAAGAACTGCCAGTGTGCATATGAAAGTGAACATCATTCACCTTCTAAAACACATGGCACAAATAATGAGAGGCCAATAAAATGTGCATTAGAGTCAACCCTCAAAGGACAACAAAGAATGGCTTACAGGAGACCACCTTTGAGGTGGAAATGATTTCCACTTGGAGAGGGGCTGGTCTGTCACATGCTTAGTCAACAGAACCTGGCAGTCAGAGCACTGTTAAAGTTATTAGAGATGAAAGACAGCAATTCAGTTTGAGGTATTGAGTATTTAAGTTTAGATTGCATATTAGTTTGAACAAAGAAATAACAATCATCTTATATGTTGTGATACAAACAATACATATTTAAAATGTTCAATTAAGAAAAAAACTTCATGGTGTTGGATCTATTTCCAGCTTCACGGTGTTGGCAATTACTTTTCAGATACCAAAAACCTGAGTAAAAAAATCAGGTAAGGGGGAGGCAGGAAAGTGAATAAAAAGGAATTAAGATGTATTATGTACATGTACCAACTCTCCACAAGGAATGTAAACATTATGTACTACACACATATATTAATAAAAACACAAGTAGGGCCGGGGACTTAGCTCAGTGGTGCTGCTGCCTGCCTCTCAAGCACAAGGTCCCAAGTTTGAACCCCAGTACCACAACAAAACAAAACACCAAAGAACAAGTAAGGCAACCTCTAAAATTAAGACTCTTTGTGTATCAAAGGGCAGTGTCAATTTGTCAGTGGGTTTAACTAATTTAGGTTACTAGTGAGCTTCTGAAGAAATGAACTGAGAATTCACTGAGTAGGTTAAAGTGCCAATGGGCAGAATCTACCAGAAAGTACAAGTTAGCACAGCCTGCAGCATACCCTACAGACACACAGGTGAGTAAAATGTGCATACAGTTATTCCAGGACAGAAGGACAATTTGATCTTCCAGGCTGGCCAAAAGCTTTCTGGGACCACACTATTTTATCAGCTTCAGAAAAGCCACCTTTACATGGTTAAACATGACCAGTGAAGACAGTGTTCCAGACTCAGGTGCCAGCAAGTCTCCCAATTCCGTAAGAGGCTAACATGCTTACACTCAGGATTCTGAGTCATCTAACAAGGATGACTGCCTTTTGCCATGACATCAGAAAGACCAGAGACAAACCCACAGCCAACTTAGATGACTCTAAAATTTTGTAATGTGCTAAATCTATGTAGTATTTATGTATACTTCCCTGAGGCTCAATCTTAGTTTTCTACTTTTCCACCTTAATTCCTAGACCCTACAAAGTTCAATATAAGTTAAATACAATCTAAAACAAAAAGAATAAGTAACTCACCAGGGATTTATTCCATTTTTGTTGCTCTTGAAAATGCACAGAAGACTGTGGAAGCATAGCTGGGACTAGAGGTGAGCGGAGTGGAGTCATAAGAGAATGCATGTAGCTCTGTTCTAAATTCTCCTGCTCAAAACACTATACATGAGCTGGAAAAAAAGAAAAGGGGGATAAAAAAGCTCCTGTTGGAGCAGAGCCCTTTAGGTCTCAAATAAGGGTGTCAAAGGCCCTACTAAAGATACAACCATAAGCCAATTAGGTGGTAGAGATTAGAAACAAAATTAATTTTTGGGTTAAAGTCAATAGTGATTACTTACAGACTGATCAACAATTGACATTCCTCAAAGAAATAATTGAGTAATTTAAACCAAAAGAAAACACATTGTGCTTTCACTAAAATTTTTGCTATAGAAATACACTTGGAATGTATAAACTATTTTCTTTGATACAGGGATATACCCGAGGGCTCCACCTGAGTGTTTCCACTGCACTTCTTACCTTTGTACACTCAAGCTTCACGGAAAATATGTATGTTGAAATCCAACTATTTTCACCCACAATTACACATGGAAAATGTGATTTAGGGCACCAAGTAATCCAAACAAACAAGGGAAATATTATAACTCCCAACCTACTAGATACCCAAAACTCAAGTTCATGTTCTCTAAAATCAAAGAATGAATTCTAGGAAAAACAGAGGTTAAGAGTAAGAAAAAATTATTGTGATAAAGACAGCTTCTGTCTAAGAGAGACAGAGAGGGGCCAGAAAGTGGGCTGCCCACCACCCCGCTTTTCAAAGGTGTCTTATTGAGCAAAGACATGAGGTGAGGCAGGTACAAGGTGGGATAAAACTACAGTCAACTAATAAGATTACAAATATTGTTGCTTAAGTAATATTGATCCAATGGGAATCACAAGGTGGGACAAAACTATGAACAACTAATAAGATTACAACAAGTATAGTCACTTAGGAAATATTAAGTGGAGATCAAATGGGGAAGCTAGTCACATAGCAAGTGTGCATGGAACAAACAAGGATATCCCTGGAAGGAGTGGGCTATGGGTGTTTTGGTCCCTGCTCAAGGTAATCGATACCTATTTAGAATATCAATCAGTTATTTATCTCTAGGAGAAGTATACAAGTGTTGTACTTTTTCTTTTTTATAATGCTGACCTTAAGTGAATGTGTCTCAACTGTCTTTCCTACTGGCTCCCTGAGGGCTGGCCCTGTCTAACTGCCTATAAGATATCTAATTAACCTAGCTGTCTACAATATTCCCCCTTCTGAAGAAATATCCCGAACTGTGGTTAGGAGAGATGGGATGTAGTTTCTATTTAACTGCTTCAAGCTGAGAAGGGTCGATGTAGGGGAGACCACAGTCAGTGGCCCTTTCCAGAGAGCTAATCTAATGGGCCTCAGATAGAAGTCATGTTGTAGTTTAGCAGTTAATTTTTACAAGGATGGCCTGATGGATCCCAGTAAGAGGACTCTAGTCCATTTGTCACTGGTTCCATTTGTATGGTCACTTGGAGTTCGGCAGCCTCTAGGCAAGAATAAACATTTTTCAAGAAATTACAGCATGTACAATCTAAATGAGCACTAAAATGAAAACACAGCTTGGGGAAACAGCCACATTCAGAAACTGTTTTTAGGGACTGAAGTAACAACTGTAACCCACTGGCTCTTAGACTCTTACTGATGGAGGCTATCTATAAGTCTGATATTCTGTCATAAGTCTCACTGGTTTCAGCTGTAAGAAGAAACAATTTGAAGGACAATTTTAGCTAAGAAATCTTAAAACTCTTGTTGAGCTCTTATACATTTTATCATAGTTTTTTTAATGACCCATAACAGTGCTCAGCTACCACTGTAGCTGGAAACTGCAGGAAGGGGTCAGCAATGAAGCCTCTTTCTATATCAAGCTTTATTATTAGGGTCTTAATATCTTTAGTTATATTTTTCTACTGGGTGTTTAAGACCAAGTTAAAGGAGACCTGTGCCAATCAAATTAACCTCTTGCTGTCTATCAAGGTCAGTTAAGTCTTCTCAGGTAAGTTCTTCTTTGGAACCATATACACAGCCTTTCAGCTCTTCCGCCAGTATCAGCTGTCAGGATGGGTCACAGCCCTGCTTGACCATGCTGCTTTCAGTGAAAGTGTGGGAGACTTTTCCCTCTTGGTGACCCTCCCTTGGCATACTGTATATCTGTTAACTTTTGTCCTCTGACATCCAGTAATCTCCCTGCTCAGGAGGTTGGGTGACTCACCAAACATGTAGGATTCTGTAGAAAAGGTTCTCTCATGTCCTGGGTCCTTGTTGACCTTGGTTGTCCTCTTAGCCCAGTTCCCTTACTAGTTTTATTCTCTAAACTTTAGTTGTTGAACACCCAGAAGAGAAGATCGATGGCATTAACATTGCAATGGGAGCAGTGAGCTGAACTATTATAATTTTATCTGGATATCAAGCACTTTGAAATATAAAGCATAGTTAGAGGTCTGTTATTTTATCAACCATGGTTGTTTTAGTAGTTGAATCCTTGGAGAATATTAACAGACAACAGTTATACAATTTTATAGAGAAAACTTGAGCTCGAGAGCCACACATAGTATTTCAGCATGACAATCATGATGACATTATCTTTGCAACACACTTAAATGTCCATCTTAGTATAAAATAGTCTTTTAGTCAAACACTGCCATCTGATCTCAAAACATTAAATGACACAAAGAAAACTCTCAAGTAATATGTTAACTTTTAATAGGATGTCATCTAAAGAGAACATACTGGCCTACACATGTGCCTTAGAAGTTTATAATGTCTAGCCTCTAATTTTAGTGTGTGACATTGTTTGGACTGTTTGATGCCTGACCATCTCTAAGTGTAGTGACACATATAACATATATATCATACAAAAACTATTAACCAGTGATCTCATGCTGGTTTGACATGTACCTCTTATCACAAGATAAGAATGCAAGAGAAAGGCAGATACCAGAGTCAAAAAAGGTTATTACCATAAACAATATCTTAGAAGACCCATACACCGGGAAGGCATGAATAGATTTAGTACACCATGAAATTAGCAATAATGAGTATCACAGTTATATGAAACCCTTTCTCTCTTAGTTTTGTATCAAAAGCATCTTTTAATAAAACCTTATTGTTTTTCCACAGGAAACTTAGCCTTTTGATGATGATCAATGTAAACATATCACAATAATATGTTTAGCAATGTTTATTGGGGTGTATTTCTCATAAGGCTATGGAAATTACTGGGGTCCCCTTTGTGAACAAAGGCTGGAGAAATATTTCTAGGCTCCTCCTTTATTTACCAAGGGGAGTCCTGTCCAGCAGTTTTCCTAAGCCTAAAGGTCCCCATTTAATTATTTTAACAAACATTGAGATGACCTATGAGAGCTAGATCCTAACAATTAACACATTATTTTCAACCAATGAAACATTCCCAGGTTATTATATACAGACAACATATGTATTATATTTGTAAAACCAATCTTGATATCATTTTGATCAGCTAGCAAACTGGGGGGAAGCATGTCTTTAACTCTAATGACATTTATCTATAAGCCAACTCAAATTATAGGCAAATATTTTTAAAATCCAAAAAGGCAAAAGAAAAAAATTGTTGACCTCAAACTAAATAACTGTAAAGCAAACAGGACAAACAGATGAACGTACATAGACAATTTGTTTAAAAAAACCAATATACTCAGATGTATTTGGCCAAGTCAAATTATAATAAACTTTTTATAGTTTTATGTAAGTATAAATAAGACTAGCCAGAACTTTTGTAGGTCAATTAACAGAGATCTCTTACAATACGAATTAGAAGAAAAAAAAACCTTTTACACCTGTGAAAGCAAAGGCAGTTTTTAAGATGGGCCCTAGGCTGATGATTTATCTGATTGGAACATCTAGCTATACAGGCTTTTTATTGTTGCTTTCATAGCCATAGCTGTTGAAGAGTCACAACTGTTGAAAGCCAGAAATGCTGCTTGATAGCCACATGTAACTGTTTCCTCTAGAGCAGCAGACTGTTGAAAGGTAATTTTAACTACTTCTAGGGGTGGGTGTGTAAGCCAGGTTTGGATGTAGAAAGAGACTAGGTGGCACCCACTGGAGCTAAGTATATATTTTAAGCAGGGTTCTAATCTGTCCTGCTGTAGATGCCTACCTGTGACAGTTTTTCTCATTTTGCCTCTAACCCTTGGACCATACTTAGCTATAGGCCTTTTTTTCAAAGCCTCAATTAGCATATCTCTGATAATAGTGGCCAGCCTGGCAAGATGTCCTGGCGAGAAATCATGAAGAGAGGCAGTCCTCTGGGGACTGGAGTTGTGCCTATCCCTTTTTTTTTTTTTTTTTTTTTTGGTGGTACAGGGGATTGAACTCGAGACCTTGCACTTGGCAAGGCAGGCAGCAGAACCACTGAGCTAAATCCCTGGCCCAGTGCCTATTCTTTAATAACTGTTTTTTGTTTAAAGCTATTGTTAAACTCATGAAGTTCCCCAGGAATGTCTCATTCTATCGCTGAACTTATTATATGTGTTATAAAAATCAGTCTGTCTTGTGTTATAAAAACCAATCAGTGTCATTTTTGAGGAGTGAGGGAAGACGAGTTAATCTCTAATTCTGCCTAAGGACTTAAAGGCAGATAAACTTGGACTAAAACTTTATTTTTTGAGAGTTTCAGGATTAAATCTAAGCCAGTTTCTTTTCTTTTCTTTTTTTTTTTTAAATATGGCCCAGAGATAAATGAAAGTCAGCTTTACTCTGGAAGGGTCCCAGGAAAGGGAAACTCACCATTCTGGAAGCTTAGTCCCAAAATCCAGCAGCCATAGAGGAGGAAATTGCCTTGAACCAAACACTGCTGAAAACTGTCTTTTAGAGGCAGGGCAGTGGAGAAAGGACAGAAGAGTTACTCTAAGTATGGCACAAGAACTAAACCGTAACCATCTCAGGTGCAGACAATTAAAATCAAGTGTGTTTCCAAAGTGAATCTCTAATCTTTAGCAAAACATGTCTCCAGAGGAAACAACTATGGCTTACTCTAACCACATTGCCAAGCAGAAATTTAAACGAATAATCAAAGAACCCGAAAGACTGATTTTTAGCCTCTTGAAAGAGAGTGACAGAGGAAGTGAAAGTGTTAATCAGGTTCCCAGGTTAAAATATGAGTACATGTCTTCTGGGTTTCTTTATAAGCTGACAGAGGCAGGGGCCGAGGATTTAGCTCAGTGGTTTCACTGCCTGCTGTGCAAGCGCCAAGAACCCGAGTTCAATCCCCGGTAACAAAAAAAAAACAACAACAAAAAAAAACTATAAGCTGATAGAGGGGTCATGAAATCTCACTATATCCTGTTATCTAAAGTCATCAAAAACCTGTAATTCCTAGGAATCCCCTTAGCTGTTTCAGAGTCTTGGGCTGTGGGAGGGAAAGAATTGGTTTAATTCTTTCTTCAGGTTCCCGCAGACATAAGGCCCAAATATTCTCCCTCAAAGCTATGAATTTGTTCTTTAGATCTAGAAACCTTATAATCCCTGTCTGTTAGAAAATTCAGCAGAGCATGGGTGCCTTAGCTAGAGACCTCTTCTGAGGGGGCACATGACATTGTACCATCTACATATTGCAAGATTGTGACTTCGGAAAAAACTACAGTATTTCCTTTTCTCAAATCAGGAGCTACAGATGTCCTTACTGTTCTCCTGATAAACAGATGGTGATCTGAAATAACTGAAGGGTTTAGTTCTCATCTTCCCCCCTGCCTTTGGTACCAGGGATGGAACTCAAGACCTTACACTCGCGAGGCAGGTGCAGGGCCACTGAGCTAAATTCCTAGCCAAGTTCTCATCTTTCTTAAACCTTCAAGAATACATGCCTGAAAGTGTCTTCTATCTTAATCTCCTGTCTGGCTGGCAGGCCAGTGGAGGTTTTGTATAGGGACTGTTTGGTCTCTAGTAGGAACCAGCTGTTCCCCTGCCTGCTATGATACTATTTATCTCTAAATGCAGTAGCAGTTTGTAATGCTGCTTGGCTTGATAGAGAAGTCCTATAGAATAAGACAGGCCCTTGCCGTGCCTCCATTTCTTTCCACAGAATGTTTTGTTTTGGAAATGAAGTTTGTGCTGCTGGGCTCCGGCCCAATGTGTCAAAATGGTTTGTGACTGTTTGAACTGTGTGACCTTTCAGGAAGGTTCTGTAACTCTGCCCCCCCGCTTCACTGAGCATGCTCACACGGCATGTGTTTCAGGAATATTCTGTAATTCTGCCCCTGCTTCATTGAGCATGCTCGCCTACCTTGTAGATCCCTATACAAGGAGGCTCTCATTTCTGGTAAAGTGCTCAGACTCCTGAGCCCGCTGGGAGCTCAACAGTGTAATAAAGTTTTTTTCTCCACCTCTCCTACTCACCATTGGATTCTTTTTTTTTTTTTTTT